AGTGAATGAGAATCTCAGCACTAGGGAGGCAGAGGCAGGTGGATCTCTGTGAGTTCAAGGCCAGCCTGGTTTACATAGTGAGTTCCAGAACAGCTGGGGCTACAGGGAGACCCTGCTTCAAAAAGACAGAAAAAAATTTTTTTTTTCAGATAGTATCTTGCTGTGTAATCCATGCTATTCTCAACTAGCCTAGTCTGGCCTTTTCTTTCTTTTCCTTTTTTTTTTTTGAGATAAAATCTTATGTAGTCATCCTCCTGCCTCCACCTTCCAAGTACCATAATCACATGGCTGTCTTGATTTTTTGGGGGGGTGGTTTCTTTTTTGAGACAGTCTCCCTATAGCCCCAGCTGGCCTTGAACTCGCTATGTAGACCAGCCTGGCCTTGAACTCACAGAAATCTACCTCCCAAGTGCTGGGATTAAAGGCATGTGCCACCTTGCCCAGCCTGTCTTCCTTCTTAATTCCCAAGTTCAAGTTTCAAATCTGAGAGGATTTGGGCATTTAAACAATCATACCACCCACATATCTCTGCCTTGGAGCTAAAAAGAGGAAACATTATCTCATAAACCTCTAAGCAGGTCTCTAGAAATCTCTCCTAAATTCCTTTTTCCTGTAAGGAACCCACAGATCCACCATGCTATTTTAAAAAAAATACTTTATTATTTTTATTTTATGTGTATGGGTGTATTACGTGTGTGTGTGTGTATGTGTGTGTGTGTGTGTGTGTGTGTGTGTGTGTGTGTGTGTGTGTGATGCAATGCCTGCAGAGGTCAGAAGGCATCGGATCCCCTGGAACTGGAGTTATGGGTGGTTTTTAGCTGCCATGTGGGTACTGTGAATCAAACCCAGTTTCTCTGCAAGAGCAGTCAAAGCCATCTCTCCAGTCCCCAACCCTGTTATTTCAATGAATAATGTAATCTTATTTTGTCTGATCTCATGAGGGTTGGGGAACATTCAGCAAATTATGTAAGCCTAAATGCTAACATGTAGAAAAAGGAAAAAAGCAAGTTGTTTCATATTTATTATAATTTTTAGAAATAAAGAACTAACTCATTTCCTGATATATTATTCTTTAGTAATGGAGATAGAGATCTTTCTTATCTAAAGAGAAGAGCACCTGAGAAGGTTTTAACATTTAGAAAATATTTTTATTTATGTATATGTATGTATATATGTGCCTATTGTGTGGGTGCCCACTGAGGCCTGAAGAGGAGATTTGATGTCATAAAGCTGGAGTTACAAGTGGTTGTGAGCCATCCAAAGTAGGTGCTAGGAATAGAACTCTAGTCCTATGGAAGAGCAGCAAGTGCTCTTAACCATTGCGCCATCTGTCCAACCCCTCTTTCATAAACATTTTTAGTACATTTTCCTGTGTGTGTGTATATGTGTGTGTGTGTATGTGTATGTCTGTCTGTTTGTGTGTCTGCATATCTGTCTGTGTCTGTGTGTATGCTGCCTCAGTACATATGAGGAAGTCAGAGGAAAGCCTTTGGACAGCCTGCAGAAGTCAGTTCTCTCCTTCTATGTGGGTTCTGGAGATGCAGGCCATCAGGCTTAGTGGCAAATGCCTTTACCTGCTGAGTCATCTCACTGCCCCCCCCCCATTTTTTGTTTTGTTTTGTTTTGTTTTGTGTGTGTGTGTGTGTGTGTGTGTGTAAATGTGTATGTACACATTTGTATGTGCACATGTGTATATGTGCATGGAGGCCAGAAAAAGGCATTTGTGGGAGGCTCAGCTTGCTACATGGGCGCTGGGCTTTGAATTCTACTCCTCATGATTGTACAGCAAGCACCCTTAACCTCTGAGCCATCTATTTTTTGTTTTGTTTTGTGTGTGTGTGTGTGTGTGTGTGTGTAAATGTGTATGTACACATTTGTATGTGCACATGTGTATATGTGCATGGAGGCCAGAAAAAGGCATTTGTGGGAGGCTCAGCTTGCTACATGGGTGCTGGGATTTGAATTCTACTCCTCATGATTGTACAGCAAGCACCCTTAACCTCTGAGCCATCTCTCCAGCCCCGTGGTGTTTTTAATATAGATGAGACTAGTAGGGAATATTAGAAGTCTTTGTGATAGGGACCTTTGAAGGAATAATAGCAAGTTTGAATAATAAAAATATCGGATAATATTTGTAAGCAATGTGCTTAGCCTTTTTCAATTTCCATAACATAACACTGTAAGGTAGACTTACATTCAAATTCATACTGCAGTATGTAGCAAAAACAAGATTTAAAACATTTTATTATTGTGTGTACATGTGTATATGATTTGTATGTGCAAAATGCAGGTGTGCATGTGCCACAGCATGCATGTAAAGGTCAGAGGACAACTTTCTAGAGTTGTTTCTCTCCTCCATTGTGGTCCTAAGGATCAAACCCAGATTGTCAGACTTGCTTGGCAAGTGTTTTTACCTGCTTAGCCATCTTGCCATCTCCCCAAACAAAATTTATCTATCAGGTTTGTTTATGTGGTACAAACTATGTACAACGATGTAAGAATTTTATACTAGGAGACCTTGTGTGGTGGCACATGCCTTTAATCCCATCACTTGGGAGCCAGAGGCAAGTGGATCTCTGTGAGTTCGAGGCCAGCCTGGTCTACATAGCGAGTTCCAGGCCAGCTGGGACTACAGGGAGACCCTATCTCAAAAAAAAAAAAAAAAAAGAAATAAAAATAATTTTATACTAGGATATATTACTTTGGTACAGAATTATCTGATTTGGGGAATATATGTATCTTTGGGGGAGTCATTTTGAGACAGGGTCTCCCTGTAGCCCTAGCTTGTCTGGCACTTACTGTGTAGATCAGACTGGCCTCAAACTCACAGAAATCCGCCTGCCTCTGCCTCTTGAGTTCTGGGACTGTAGGCATGCACCACCACACCTGGCTGGGAATATATATACCTTTAAATTTACTATATGTTGTCAATTTTTTTTGCCAAAGTACTTGGAAACATTATATTCCTACCTTCAGGTTAGAATAAATCCCACTGATTCATCTCTTTATCAGTTTATTTCTTGGGCCATTATATTTATTCTTTCAAAATGATGATGAAGGGCCCAGTGTCAACCCTGTATTCAGCACATGGGATATGGAAGCAGGAAGATTAGGAGTTCAAGGTCATCTTCAGCTACCCAGTGAATTTGAGGCCATCTTGAGCTACATGAGACCCCATCTTGTAAAAAGCCACCAAAACAAAATAAAATAGTGTGATGAAGGAGAGCCCCTCTGTACAGACCTTAGTCTGCTGCCTATTGATTCACTGGCATCACTAAAAGTATAGGTTGAGTTTCTGATTCACCAATTAAAGATATATATTTAAGAAAAGTACTGAAGCCAGGTGTGGTGGCACATGCCTGTAGTCCCAGCACTTGGGAGGCAGAGGCAGGCAGATCTCTGTGAGTTCAAGGCCAGCCTGGTCTACATAGTGAGTTCCAGGACAGCTCAGGCTACCAGGAAACCCTTCTCAAAAAGACCAAAAAAAAAGAAAAATACGGAAAAAAAACAATAATGAATTACTTAACAATTGATAGCTTGCATCATTTATGCAACACTACATTAGTTTGTTGAGAAACAGTTTAATGAACTGCTCAGAAATTCTGAATAACTTAAGTGAAAATTATAAAATATTTGAGGCCCTATTTTCAAATAAGAGGAGCATATGCCTGCTTACTTCCTTTCTCCTTTCCCTCAAATAGTCCCCTGACATTGTAAGCAATATGCAATGGTTCTGGTCTCATTGTCAATTAAAATGAAGACATGTTCCGTTCAATAATATTCTGAATCATTTTAAAAGATTTTATTTATTTTAATTTTTTAGTTGATTTACTTTATATATATGAGTGCTTTGCCTGCATGTATGTAAGTATACCTGTGTCATGCCATGCCCACAGAGGCCAGAAAAGGACATTGAATCCCTTAGAACTGGAGTTAAAGATGATTGTTAGCCCCTGTGTGGGTGCTTGGAACTGAACTGGGGTCTTCTGCAAGAGCAGCCAGTGCTCTTAAAGGCTGAGCCATCTCTCTAGTCCCAGAGATTTTATTTATTATTTATTTATTTATTTATTTATTCATTCATTCATTCATTTTTTGAGACATTTCAAAAATTCATTCATTATTATTTCTCTCTGTAGCCCCAGCTGGCCTGGAACTTGCGATGAAGACCAGGCTGGCCTCAATCTCACAGAGATCTGTCTGTCTCTCTCTCTAAATGCTGAGATTAAAGGTGGGTGTTCCCATGCCTGGCACATAATAAATTTTACTCTAATCATAATGCAACTTTTTGAGGTTTTTTTTGTTTTTATTTTTATTTATTTGTTTGTTTCTGTTTTTCATGGTCTCACTATATAGTCTGGCTGGCCTGGAACTTGCTCAGACCAAGGTAGTCTCGAAGTCACAGCGATTGGCCTGCCTGTGCCTTCCAGGTGTTGGGACTAAAGACGTGCCACCACGCCTGGCTCATAATGCAGTTTTGTTTCTTGTTTGTTGTGACAAGGTCTCATCTAGCCCAAGCTGGCTTCAAACTCTCTATATAGTCTCATCTAGCCCAAGCTGGCTTCAAACTCTCTATATAGCTGTGGAATGGCCTTGAATTTTTGATCCTCCTGCTTTCACCTCTCATTGCTTGAAATATAAGCATGTATGCTACCATGCCTGCCTTTTATAGTGGTGAGGATCTAACCCAGGGCTTCTTGAATGCTATACAAGCATTCTACCAGCTGAGCTACTTTCTCTGCCCCATGCAGGTTATTCTTTTTATTGTTGTGGTTTATTCTTTCATGATATGCACATGTATAATGTAGTTTGATTCTTTTTTATCCTTCTCCCTCCCATCAAGGCTCTTTTTTCTTTCCAACAAGTTCTCCTTCCTACACAGTTACCCTCACAACAGTTAAGCCACTATTGCACTAGTAGGCATATCTTGCCTGACAGGTTGGTATTGTAGCTTTATGTATTCACATCTGGGTAAGACTGCTTATGACTTTTCTCTCCGAACACCCAGCGAGAGGAAGTGCCATTTCCTGATACTCTTTTGAGTGCATTCACAAAATACTTTATTTTACTTGTAGATTTGTGCTTTTACTTTTTTAAGGAGATCAAGTCTCCCTACAGAGCCAAGGCTTACCTAGAACTTGAAGGTCTTCTTGCCTCAGAATGCTGAGATTGCAGGGGTAACTTTACAGCTGGCTGATCTGTGCAGTTTTTAGCACCAGGGTCACATGGCAGAAAACAGATTTTGCAACATTAGTAAGACAGCAAACCACCATAACCTCAGAATATCACATCAAATGCTGCCAGTACTGTTCATATTTAGAGATGTAGTCTTCCTGTAGACATAACTTTAGGATTAAGAAGGTCTAGTCCATAGGAAAACAGGTTGCCACAAAGAGCATACCACCTTGACCACAGCTATCCTTAGACTCATAATGCTATTGAGACTCAGAGTTGGAAGGTCACAAGCTAAACTGCTTAGTTGCTAACTTATTTTAGTATCATGTTATGTGCTTTTATTTTTGACTCTTGATGAAAGTACAAGGTCCAGCCAAAACTCTGCCTCATATTAGCTTCTCTGAGATGAATACAGAAATCTCAGGTCATCTTTCTAGCTGAGCTTTGACACTGGCAACCTCCATCCAGAGTGCCTTCCTGTCCTCTGAAACGTATATATACTACATAGGCAAAAGATATATGCCTTAGCCAGGCGTGGTGGCAGAGGCAGGCAGATGTCTGTGAGTTCAAGGACAGCTGGGGCTACAGGGAGACCCTGTCTCAAAAAAACTAATAAACAAACAAAAAACCCAACAAAAACAACAAAAGATATATCTCTTAAAAAAAAAAACTCTTAGTTTGAAAGAAATTTTTTTTCGCCCTATTCTTCATTAGTAAAAACAGTCTCACAAGATGGGAGGAGTGGCACCTGTTTGTAATCCCAGCACTTGGTAGGTAGAGGCTGGATGGTTGGGAGTTCAGGGTCATTCCTGGCCATACAGTGAGTTCAAGGCCAGCCTGGGCTACATGGTACACTGTCTCAAAGAATAACAAAACAAGAGCTGGAGGGATGACTCAGTGGTTAAGAGCACTGGCTACTCTTGCAGAGGACCTGGGTTCTGTTCCTAGCCCCCACATGGCAGCCAACAACCATCTATAACTCCAGTTCCAGGGGATCTGACATCATCCTCTGGTCTCCACGGACATTGCACGCATGGGAGCACTTACGTACATGCAGGCAAAACACTCATACACATAAAATAAAAATAAATACATTAAAAAACTTTAAAGCACAAAACAATAAAAAGAAGAGGGGTCAGAGCCTAGAGAGATGGCTTATCGGTTAGGGTGCTTGCTTTTCTTCCAGAGTTCCTCACCCACACTGAGTAGCTCACAACTATCTGTAACTCCAGCTTCAGTGGTTCACATGGCCTCTTCTGGCCTCTCCAAGCTTCACACACACACACACACATACACACACACACAGAGAGAAGGAAAAGAAAACAAAGGAAGAAAGGAAGGGAAAAGAAAAACCCAGTGTCTTGTTTCTGGAACTGACATGAGTGTTAGAAGGCAGGGAATCACTCGACATGATTCTTTTCATAGTTTTGTTTTTTGTTTTATTTTGTTTTGAGACAGAGTCTTATTACATAGCCCAGGCTGGCCTTGAATTCATGGCAGTCCTCTTCCTTCATCCTCTCCAGTGTTGGTGTTACAGGCGTGCTGCCGCACACCTGGCTTCTTTTTTATAGTTTTCTAACATGATGAGGTATAGCAGACCCTCTGTAAAGACTCTAGTTTCTTGCCTCTGTTATTTCACTGACATTGCTTAAAACATTGGTTGAATTTCTTACCAATTCATTGCCAATTTATTTATTCTAGTCCTTTTCCACCCTTGCTTTTTTCCAGGATGAAAGTTGTATGTATAACCCAACTGGAAAGGCAGCTAAATGCAGAGGGTACAGAGAGATCCCTGTGGGGAGTGAGAAAGCACTGAAGAGAGCAGTGGCTCGAGTGGGACCTGTCGCTGTGGCTATTGATGCGAGTTTGACTTCTTTCCAGTTTTATAGCAAAGGTAAGAACCTCTTCCTGCAAAGCACCATTTATGTATGTATGTATGTATGTATGTATGTATGTATGTATGTATGTATGGATTTCTTTTTTTGTTTGTCTTTTTGAGACAGGGTTTGCCTGTAGCCCCAGCTGGCCTGGAACTCACTATGTAGACCAAGCTGGCCTCAAACACACAGAGATCCACGTGCCTCTGCCTCCCAAGTGCTGGGATTAAAGGCGTGTGCCACCATGCCTGGCCAAAGCACCCTCTTTTGAGATGTGGGTGTGGCATCTTTTTGAAGGGGACTGAGAATTTTCAGTGCCTTGTTTTCATAGTCAGACTCCATCTGGTAGAAACTGGCTGCTGCTGCAATGCAGAGCATCTTATAGTAAACCCTCCTGACTAAGGTAGAATCTAGTCTCCTGGACTAGAGATCCCACAGAGCCACTCTTCCACTGCAGAAAGCCTCAACTTGATATTTTGTTTCCTAGGTGTTTACTATGATGAAAACTGCAACAGTGATAACCTGAACCACGCTGTGTTAGCAGTGGGCTATGGGATCCAGAAGGGAAACAAGCACTGGATTGTTAAAAACAGGTAATAATGAGAACACTACTTTTGTCATTTCATCACCTTTATAACACTGAGCCTCGCGTCCAGCTCCCCAGTCTTTCTTTTTTTCCTTCCCCCTGATCAAGAAAAAATTGTTTCAGGCTTTACACTTCTGCTTTCCCTGTTGGAGGCTCATAATTAAGAAGCTGGCAGGAGATGGCCAGACAATAATATTCAAAGTATATGCTGCACAGCTGCTCCCTGTACAAAATGCTTAGTCATATATACAAACAAGTGAACAAATGGCAGTTCAGTGATCTCACAGCTCAGTAAGGCAGACTTAGCTATAATTTAATAGCACAAAGAACCAGCTCTTTTCCTCTGTAATCTCTCATCCATCTCAACCATGCTGGTTACTCCTGCCAGCTGAAGCTGAAACTCTGTATGCATAAAGCTCATTTAACCTGATGTTTTTGTTTATTTGGTTGGTTGATTTTGATTTTTTTAAGACAGGGTCTCATGTAGCCCATGCTGGCCTTGACTTCAGGGTATAGTAGAGGATGGTCTTGAACTCCTCAACCTAATCTTAATCTACTTTTCCAGATCTATCTCCCACTTTGTCATTCACCCTGTTTTTTAAGTCACATGATCCCAGCATCTTTTTCCTGTCTCTGTCATCAATTTCATATCCTTCCATTAGCCTCCCATAGCTATGAGTCCAAATTGTACCCATCTTTTGGGCTTAGTCTCAAATACTACCTCTTACATCAAGTACTTTTCATCTTATTGATCAAAAGCAATCTCTGGTACTTTTGAGACTGTCTTAGTTTTTTTTCCTGCTCTCGACATTAAATATTTTTTGTTTCTTATTTTTTCTTTTGGGGGGAGCTTTTTGAGACAGGGTCTCCTTGTAACCCCAGCTGGCCTGGAACTCACTATGTAGACCAGGCTGGCCCTGAACTCACAGTTCAGGTCCACCTGCCTCTGCCTCCTGAGTGCTGGGATTAAAGGCATGCACCCCCACACCTGGCTGACATTAAATATTTCTTAGAAGAGTAACTTAAGGGAGAAAGGGTTCATTCTGGCTCATAGTTCAAGGTACAGTCCATTGTCACAGGGAAGTCCAGGTAGAAGGAGCTTTGAAGCCACTGGTCACATCCCATCCACAATCAGGAACAGAACAATGAATACATGTTAGTGCTCAGCTTGCTTTCTCCATTTTAGACAGTCAAGGATCCTCTGCTCAGGGAATGGTCCTGCCTACAATTAAGATGAGTTCTCCTACATCACTTAACATAATCCAAATGATCCCTCAGAGGCCCACCTCCCAGGTGATTCTAGATTCTGTCAAGTTGACAGTTGACACTGTCACAAAATCTGTATAGCATTATGCATTCTTTCCACTTCTTGACTTTAAAGATAAACCATTTTGAATGCCATCAGCACCTGCACGAGTAACTTTTACAATATGGACATAATATGGACTAAAGACTTTTACCTAACCTTGAAACCAAAAAGTTACTGCTTATAAAGTAAACAAGTTCACTGACCCATGTGTTCCTCCTGTGACCTGGGCATATGACCTTACTCCCCTAAGGATCCCTCCTTGTCTTCTACCCAAGACAGTTTATGAATGTATGTGTGAATGCTGTACATATCAAAGCAGTGAAAGCAGTGTACTTATCTCATTGAAAGCAATGAGAGAAACTGAGGTCTGTTTGTAGTTGTGTTGTGATATTCTAGGTCTAGTGATCAAAGGGCAAGATTCTTGGGTAAGGGAGGATCTTGACTTCTACTTCCCCATTTCATGCTGGAGATACTGTTTCAGTAAAAAGGATAAATGAAGCCCAGGCTTGGAAGCACAGTTCTGAAAACATCTGAAGGAACAGGTGCTCAGCAGTTCAGGTCTGCTCTTGGTCTTAAAATAAATGCTAAGTGTCAGGATGTTTCTTAGTTCAGGCCCAACTGTAATGTGGCTGAGTAATGCAAGTACGTAGCAAAATATAGCAACTATTTTGAAGAATATATAAACTAAGATACTAAGTATTTTTCTTGATTGATTCTACAGCTGGGGAGAAAGCTGGGGAAATAAAGGATATATTCTCATGGCTCGGAATAAGAACAACGCCTGTGGCATTGCCAACATGGCCAGCTTCCCCAAGATGTGATTCCAGTCAGCCAACCTCCTCTTCCATTCCTTCTACGATGGTGGTGCGATATAATGGTATACTTTGGAAGGGAATTGGTATACCATTCTTTTTTTTGATATTTTTTGAGACAAGGTCTCTGAGCCCAGCTGGCCTGGAACTTGCTATGTAGGCCACACTGACCTCAATCTCACAGAAATCTCCCTGCCTCTGCCTCCCAAGTGCTGGGATTAAAGTCGTGTGCCACCATACCTGGTTCTGGTATACCATTCTTGAAGATATGTTGATACTAAAATTGTTGAATTCCTCCACTTGTTGGTATTTCAAATGACACCTCTACTACTTTCCTTTTCTCGACACAAGGCCTTTTTTGTGTGTGTGTGAATTTCTGGGAGATGTAGATTAGTAAGGCTAAGATACCTGGTCACAGCCTGACCTTACTTTGTTTTGGAACTGATGCTATGCAGATAAATGCTGGAGATCTTCTGGTAAACTAGATTTTCATTCATTGGGATGACCTGGCTTTAACTACCGTAAAGGACAAAGGTGACCTGACTTCTCAATTTCCAAGTCCCTGTCTTCTATATCTTCAAGTAGACATCTCTATGTTTTTCACTCTAATTCACAAATATATCCATAATTCTTTGACAGATTTACATGATATAAGAAACGTGTATTCTTTTTCCTTCTTTGCATTTTTGAAATAAAGTGACTTGTTTATAATTTAATAAATAGTATTTCGTCCATATCCATGTTGGATACTGTGCTGGCCAGCATTTATTAACTACTTAGTGCATAAAAAGAACTGTACATTTCTTGGATTAAATGAATCTAAGATCTCCATATTTAAAGACGTGGGGACTGGAGAGATGGCTCAGTGGTTAGGAGCACTGGTTGCTCTTGCAGAGGACCCAGGTTTGATTCCCAGCGCCCACATGGCGGCTAACAACTGTCTGTTACTTCAGTTCCAGGAGATCCAATGCCCTCTTCTGACCTCCACGAGCATTGCATGGCATGGGTACACTTACATACATGCAAGCAATATACTCATACACATAAAATAGAAAAACAATATAGCTCAGAGGTTAAGAGCACTGGTTGCTCTGGCATAGGACCTGAGTTATATTCCCAGCACCCACATGGCAGTTAACTGTAACAATCTGTAACTCCAGTTCCAGGAAAGCCAATGCCCTCTTCTGGCCTTTTCAGGCATTGCATGATACAGGTACACTCACATACAGGCAAAACACTCATACACATTAAATGAAAATAAATAAATCTGGGAGCTGAAGAGATGGCTCAGCAGTTAAGATCACTGGTTGTTCTTGCAGAAGACCCAGGTTCGAATCCCAGCACCCACATGGCAGCTAACAACTGTCTGTAATGCCAGTCCCAGAGGATCCGACAGCCTTTTCTGACCTCCATGGGCATTGCAGGACACGGGTGCACTTACCTACATGCAGGCAATATATGCATACACATAAAAAAATTAAATTTTTTTTAAAAATTGAAAAGAAATCCAAACAATTTATAAAAAGAAGTCACTGTTACTGGATGTGGTGGTGCATGTCTTTAATCCTAGCACTCAGGAGGCAGAGGCAGATGGATCTCTGTGAGTTTGAGGCCAGCCTCATCTATATAGCAAGTTCCAAGTCAGCTAGGGCTACAGGGAGACCCTGTCTCAAAAAGACAAAAAAAAGTCACTGTTTATTGCATTACAATAACTTTTTTTCCCCGTTTTTTTGAGACAGGGTCTCCCTGTAGCTCCAGCTGGCCTGGAACTCACTATGTATGTAGACCAGGCTGGCCTTAAACTCACATGGATCCACCAGCTTCTGCATCCTGAGTGCTGGGATTAAAGGCATGTACCACAATGTCCAGCTTTACAATAACATTTTTTAAATCTCTAAAAAAAACAAATCTTAAGTCTTGGGCCTGGATAGATGATTAGGTGGTTAAGAGTACTGGCTACTCTTGCAGAGGACTTGGGTTCAGTTCCCAGCACCCACATGGCAGCCAACAACTGTCTGTAACTCCAGTTCTAAGGGATCTGAAGCTCTTTTCTGGCCTCCACAGGCTTTGTATGCACATGGTGCACCTGCATGCAGACAAAACATTCATACACATAAAATAAAAAATTTAAAATTGGGAAAAAAAGCAAGTCTCTTTCAAGATTCTTTTGTTTTGTTTTTCTTTTGTGGGGGGATAGTTTTGGGTTTTTTGTTTTGGATTTTTGAGACAAGTTTTTACTATGTAGCTCTGACTGGCCTGGAGGTCACTATGTATACTAGGTTGTTCTTGATCTCACAGAGCCCCTCCTGCCTCTGTCTCTGCCTCTGCCTCTGTCTCTGCCTCCTGAGTGCTGAGTCCAGTATTTTTTGACTTTTTGAGATAAGCCTCATATAGGAAAGGCTGGTTTCAAACCCACTATTGTGTCAGAGAATGATCATGAACTCCTTAGGAGGCTTTAAATTTTTTTTTTAGGTGCAGGTATTTTTATGTGCTGTTGGAGAACAAACCCAAAGTTTCATGCATGCTAGGCAAGTGTTCTGCCACTGAGCTATATCCCTAGCCCTTGCTATATGTATTTTTTCTACCGCCATTCAAGGGGGTAGAAACAGGCTAGATCATAAAGTCAAATGTGGTCTATCCGTACAATATTTTATTACTCAGCTATCAAAGGAATGAAGGTCTGAAATATGGTACAGCATGGAAAATCTTTCAAAATATTATGCAATGCCACAGTAGCTAGGCATGAAAGGACAAATAGTTTACAGGTCTCCTTATATGCAGAATCTAAAGTAGGCAAATGAGGAGGCAGACAGGAGAAGAAAGGTTCCCAGAGGCTGGGAGTTTAAGGACACAGGAAGAATCTCACCTGCCTCTGTCTCTGCCTCTGCCTCTGCCTCTGCCCCCTGATTGGTGAGTCCAGTATTTTTTGGCTTTTTGAGATAAGCCTCGTTTAGGCCAAGCTGGTCTCAAACCTACTATTATGTCAGAGAATGACCATGAACTCCTTATGGACACTCTAACTTTTTTTTTTTTTTAAATTATTTTATGTGTATGAGTGTTTTGCCTGCATGTATAAGTGCAACTGTGCATGTAATGTTCATGGAGGCCAGAAGAGGGCATCAGATCTCCTGGTACTGGAGTTATGGTCTATTGTAAGCCACCATGTGAATGATGTGAACCAAACCCAGGTCCTCTGCAAGAGCAGCTAGTGCACTTAACTTTTTCAGCCATATCTTCAGCCCCTTGGCTTTTTTTTATTTTCTACAGCCAAGATCTCACTATGTAGTGTAGGCTGGCCTCAAACTCTAGTTTTCTGCCTCCTAGAGTTGGGATTATATGTGTATACCACTATGCCTAAGCTTTAAATTCTTTAGTAATAGTTTCTAGCCAGTATTAATTCTAGACATACATCAGCATAACTTGTTTTTTCCATTTTCCACAAAATGAATATTTACTCTGTGTTATGTACTCTTCATTCTGTATAAAATATTTGGTGGGGGGACAGTTTGGAGAGATGACTCAGTGGTTAAGTGCTCTTGCTGCTCTTGCAGAGGACCTGGGTTTGGTTCCCAGCACCCACATTGGGTGGCTCACAACTGCCTGTAACTCCAGTTCTGGGGGATCTGATACTCTTTTCTGGCCTCCACTGGCATCTGCATGCACGTGGTATACATAAACTCATGCAAACACACACACATACACATAAAAAATAAAGTATACAATTAAAAAAATTATTTGTTTAATAACCACATGATTAGAAGAAGCATTTCATTACAGCATTAACATATTCAATTTCAGAGCAAAGATGCATCTCTTTGAAAATTGGCTGTAAATTTTTAGGTTCACAGTTGAATTAATACAGTTATACAATATTGAACTCAGTATAAACCTTGTAAGACATAATATTGAATGAGGTTTTAACCTTTAAAAAAGATCTCCAGGGGCTGGAGGGATGGCTCAGTGGTTGAGAGCACTGACTGCTTTTGCAAAGGACCCGGGTTCGATTCCCAGCACCCACATGGCGGCTACAAACTGTCCTTGACTCCAGTTCCAGGGGAATCCGAAACCCTCTTCTGACCTCTGTTGCATTGCATGATGCAGGTGCACTCACATACATGCAGACAATGCACTTATACACATAAGGTAAAACTAATAAAATATTTTTTTTAAAAATCTCGATTCCATTTTAAAATATACTGTTTCATACAGAAAAATTCATTTTTAATACTACTAACACTTAGATGTTTGCACATGTGTCTCTAATCTCTATGAATCTGATTATTACTAGTCACATTTGGTTACTTTCTGAGATCCTTGGCACCTAAACAGGGATATAAAGTCATCAGGTAGATTTAAGTGGTAATGTTTATCACCTCTACTAATCAACATGCTTACGGACAGTTGTTAGCTGCCTTGTGGTGCTGGGATTTGAACCCGGGTCTTCTACAACAACAGTCAGTGTTCTTAACCGCTGAGCCATCTCTCTAGCCCCTGAGCATGGATATTAGTAGAGGTGAAAAACATTACCATTGACATCTACTTGATGACTTTATATCCAATTTACATTTTTTTTAATGCCTATAAATGCTGGGCATGGTGGTGCATGGGACTAAGGAGTCCCAGAACTTGGGAGGCAGAGGCAGGCGAATCTTTGTGAGTTTAAGACCAGTCTGGTCTACATAGTAAGTTCCAGGACAGCTGGGGCTACAGGGAGACTCTGTCTCAAAAAGACAAAATAAAAATGTCTATGAATATTTATGAATTTGTAGTAAGCTATATATTAAGCCTAAGCAGTTGAAAAAATTAGTAAGACATGATCCTTGACTTCAAGAAAGTTATAGACTGCCAAGCATGATGGTATGTGCCTATAATCCCAATTACTTGAGAGGCTTAAGCAGGAAAGTCACTTAAGTCCAGGACTTTAAGACTGGAAAACATAGCCATACCTTTTCTCAAAAACCAAATAAATAAAAAAATTTAGAGAGTAAATAATATTGAAGAAACATTGAGGAGTTTATATTGGGTCTACTGGGAGTATCTAAAATAAACAATAAAACTGTTTTGTACAAAATTGTTTTAAGCCAGGCATGGTGGTACACACCTTTAGTCCCAGCACTCAGGAGGCAGAGGCAGGTGGATCTCTGTGAGTTCTGTGAGTTCGAGGCCAACCTGGTCTACATAGGTAATTCCAGGTCAGCTGGGGCTACAGGGAGACCCTGTCTCAAAAAGACCAACACCCCCCCAAATTTTTAAAAGGCCAGATATAGTGACAGCACTCCTATAATCCCAGGACTTGGGAGGTGAAAGCAGGAAGATCAGGAGTTCAAGGTCATCCTTGGCTAACAGTGAATTTGAGGCCATTCTGGGCTACATGAGAAAAAAAAAGTTTGGGCAGGAATGAAATAAAACTGGGATAATATCGATATTAGGATATTTTATTTTCATATAAAATTTCCAATATTTTAATGCTGTAGTATATCAGGTATTAAAGTATCAGCTCATTTCCTGGATGCCCACCTGTGCCGTCATTTGTGAAATCAATGCACATCTACACTTACAAGTGCTCTCCTCTGGTATTCAGAAATGATAACTGTTTCTTTTGTGTTTTCGGTAGTATTTTGGTTTTTCAAGCTATTTTCCATATAACAGGCTTGCCCTGATTTTATCATGGGTGTTTTACCATTAGTTAAAATGGTATTTAAATGTTTATTAAATTCTTTTCACACTTTGCGTAGTTTATGGCTGTGG